ACATGTATTTAACTGTGATATGTTGTATTGTAAATCAGTTAGGTTCTAGACTCTGTACGGAACACATCGGGTTTATTTTGGACACTCCAGAATATCCCGCCGTCAAGTCAAAAGTTATCTCTTATTAAATTTCAAAGTTAAACTTTAATCAACTCTTACGTCATCATTTCAACAAGACAAAACGTGCAGAAAAACCTTATGTTACTTCATGTAAATAAGTCTACCCCAAATTTTATGGTGTATGGCGAATTGGGGAGATATCCCCTATCAATAAATATAAAAGTGAGAATGATCACTTCTGGCAAACCTTGTAGAAGCAGATTATAATAAAATATCCAGTATTTTGTAAAAATTACTATTTCACAAAATTGCAGAAGAAAATGGGGAAACTGGTTATTACATCCCCTGGATGAGATATGTGAAAAATATACTTGATGAGTGTGGATTATCCAATATATGGATCAAGTATGGCCACTCTTTCCTTCAATGCTTAATTAAAATAGGTTATAAAAACTATTTCAAATAAGACAACTACATTGCGACATCATGCATGTACATGTAAATTTGCTGACCGTCTATCTCCTGATTCTTCCTGTTCATGCGGCCATCCAATTGAAAATTCTGAACACTTCTTCTTCACTTGTCCAAATTACTCTAATGCCAGGAACTTAATCCATGATATCTATACCAGAGTTGGCTACTTAAATGTTCATCTTTTGACATCTGGAATTACTGACTTACCTTCTGAAAGAAATATATTGATATTGTCTAATGTTGAAAAGTACATTATTGCACCTAAACGGTTAGGATGATGTAACTAAATGTTGGTATATTATCAAACTATTATATATGTGTTTTGTTGCATGTATATATAATTAAATGAATTATTTTCTGTATCTAACTTAACTCAAATATAATTGTTGATAGTTGCTAGTCAATTTAGATAATATTGTAAATATCATATAGCGAATTTGTATTGACATGAGTGTGTATAGAGAGTGTAAGTAGATAATTGTATGAATGTATGATTGAGTGTATGAGTTTAATACAATAATATAAAAAGCTTATTAATTAAGTATATATATAAAATGTCATACTTACACCATCATGGAGAAGATTAATATAGACCTAGCCTGTTATCCTATCCATTTATATATATGTTAATATAGAAAATAAAACAAAAGACAGAGATAGCGTCTCTAGGCCTTTCTCGGGTTGTTTTATTTTTATATTTAATTCCAATCAACCCGAGAAAGGCCTAGAGACGCTATCTCTGTCTTTTGTTTTATTTCTTATATTTAATTCCAACACAAGGACGTCTCAATGTTTTCGTTATGTTAATATATATACTTAAATTTGTTAAAATGAAATGTACTTGTACAGTATATATTTGGTATTGTGTAGAAGGCCCGTGGTAAAATATGTACTGAACATGATAAAATGGTGTTTAGTGTATATATATATTTGGGTATGTACATAAACGGGATTGGCCTACATTGAATGTTACTTGGTTGTAAGTTACAATGTTGTTGATGTAGATAACATTCTATATATTACATGATAGTATGCTGTACTGGTAATTGGTATTCCGTCTTTGCGTATTGCAGAGTTATCTTCTCTTGTGAGCAGGTATTGATTGTTACGTCATTGGTTTGTGTTAGAAAATTACGTCGTTTTCTCAAAAATTTATGACGTTACTCTCACAAACCAATGCCGTAAAAATCAATCCCTGCTCACAAGAGAAGATACCTCTGCAATACGCAAAGACGGAATACAGTACATGCTTTAGTGTTGCACAGTATACTCGCGTAACATAACGATGCACAGACTAGTTCTAGTGTTGTATTGGTATAACGTAAAATGATGTACAGAAGAATTAGATATGTTTAACAATTAATTTACATGCACCATGATGCTCTTAAAGACCTTAAAACTTTACAAATATACTAATAAGTATACATTCTTAAAAATGTAGCGTAAAACACACTTTTTCGAAAGAATTTAGAGATTTCCATTTTTTGATCGTTTGACCTCTGTGACTTTGATTGAAGGCAATGATCAATGGTTTCTTCATACTATCGATTTGCCAAATATTAAGTATGTATGTGTCTCAGTTACGGAGGAGAAACGTTTAATGTGTAATTTCATGAATATTTTGAATTTGGCGGGAAAATAAAAAAAATTCAAAGTGGCGTATCTTACGTCGTTTTTGATGCAAGGATCTTGTAACTTTGCAAATAACTTCATTTGAACATGACCTTTAATAAATGGTGTGAAATAAGCTATTTTTTGTGATTTTCATTTTTGACCTATATTTGACCCCGTAGCGAGACCCTGAACTTATATTCTCTGATGTCATGGGAAAACGTTAGCCCTGACCAATACCCAAAAGAAGTATGAAGCATGAGTTCAAGTCGAGGAACGGTTTTCGGATTATGGTCGTTCGAAAAAAGTAAAACAAATGTTCTATTTATAGTTATGTGACCTTGACCTTGCAGATTATGAGCATGACCTTGTTTGAGTATCATGAGATCGTTGTCCTCTATCACACACTGAAATATTAATGTTATGCCCGTTTTCGTTCTTGAGATTAAGTGTTAACTATGTCTGTGAAAATAAGAATAATATAATAATAAGAAGAAATAATCAGAAAAAAATATACCAAAAACAAAACGGATTTCATCCGAAATTGAAATCCCTAATTATGTTGAGGGTGTAGACCAGGTACCCCGAAGGATCTCGTAAGATGAAGAAGGCAGCAAATTGCTTCGAAGATCTACTCGTTGACTTTTTAGTCGAAACACATACATGTGTCCCCAACGAGACTTGTGGGAGACAATTACACACGTGACACATAGAGGTCGCTCCGTGGTGGACTATGTTCTAGTGCCCCACGAACAACTTAAGTTCATCTTGTATCCGATGTTATAAAGGAATTCAACATTAATGGTTACACCAGTTACCCAGATCATTCCGTACGTGGACTCAGTCTGGAATATGTCTTAGCAAAATTGAAGACACGGTGCTAGCTATTTGATTGGTGTCAGGTGAAATATCTGTCCTTTTAAGATTACACAGTTGCGACATCCGACTTCAAAACCAGTCAATTTTACCATTACAGGGCCGCGAGATTATTTTGTTGTACATGAAAGGATCAAATTGGTCTACTCGTCTAATTCACAAGGTGATGCACACTGACCCTTCGATTTTGTCATGACATATTTCAAAGTTGCAGAGAGCGCAAGTGAGCGCGACACTTTCTTGTGTTTTAGGGATCACATAGAAAGAGTGAGAGTGGTTGTCTAGTAGATTCGAGAAAGACTATATACCCCTTCGCTCTAACCCAGAGTAGCCACCCCATTCACCTCATTTGAACCGGATCGTTTTATTCACGACCGCAAAATGACTTAAATGAATTGAAATTAGCAATAAGGAGAGAAATGTAAAGATTTCCTTGGAAAATCTTGAAATTGTGACCCAATAACTTCAGAGACAAATCGAAGTCATTTGTGACGAATGTACTGGCTTGTCTTTGTGCTGATGTAAACATGACGCAATGCGCTTAATTCTATATAAAGTTTATTTACATCTTTTTGAATATGTACAATCACAACATGTTCAGTCCTAAACCGCAATTCACATGGTGTCACTCTAGCACGCGTCCCAGAACTGACCGTCACACTGACCGTCCCAGAACTGACCGTCAAACTATCACACCGAACCTGATCTCAATCTCATAAAATACAATCATTTCATTTCATTCTCCGGCCACCGTCCGATTCACACAGCTGACCAGGTCTAGATCTGACACTCGCTACTGACCATTTGTCTCCCTATCTCTCCCCTCATTTTCACTAAGATAGCACTACTTCACATAGTGAAAGAGAAAAAGGGTGGACATTTGGAACAAATCATAAAATGGATATTAAATTCGCGAAGGTGAAAACGTCTGCTGAAGTGCTTCTATTTAACTGTTTTGTAGTTTCATTAACAGTTATTTACCAATAAAACTGTTTGTTCTACCATAATAAATTGCAAGTACTTTTATAAAGACGCAAAGAGGGGGGGGGGCATGTTTTTGAAACATCAAGTATACTACAGTAGTAATAAATCAGCTGATTCATGTAGCATTTATACATGTACCACGGTCAGTAAGCATTTTTATGTTTCTGTTCCAGCAGTAAAAAAAATACAACAATTAAAATTATTTTGTGGAGGATGCAGAAGCGCGTCCATCCTCTCTCATGAGTGGGCCAGTCCTTCCTGGTAACTGCAGGGGTTACGCTCAGTTACGCTCTCAGCCTGGAACATGTCATAGCTATTTGATTGGTCCATGGTAAAATCAAATCTGACCAATTGCTCGGCTGGAGCGATACCTAACTTCAAAAGGGGTCAATTTTACCGTTACGCGGGCGCGATATTTTGTTGATGTACTGGTACAGAAAGGATCAAACAAGTCTTCTTGTCTCATCCACAAGGTGAAACACGCTGAGCCTTCGATAGTTTAATAAACAAGTATCGATGCTAGATCTTTTCCCATGTTTTTCAGAAGATTGTTAAACAAAAATTCCGTATCCTCTTGCATTTAACTTCATAACATCCACAATGGAATTTCGTATCCATTTACAATTTTGCGTTAAATTCGCACAGTCCCCTTCAAGGGCGTGTCACAATTGGAAGTATCTCCTCCTGTTTCTAAAAAGAAACGCCCATCCCCTTCACATCCGGCGTTGATGTTGGACACTGGTGTATTGTCAGCGGTAAAAGTAGCCTGTACACAATCGGTCCATTTATCTCCTACTAAGTATTGAAATTTACTAAAACACGCCTTCCGCTTCTCGTGAAAACTTTTCCCGTCACGCCGGAAGTCCTCTACGAATGCGGCACAATTGCAGATCAACTTCCCTTGTGTCAAAGTCTTGAGTGTGGCTATGTGAAACCACTTGTTCTTCCTGTTGTCGAAGTAATGTCCGGAATATGCTGTCCAGAGACCGTCCTTCTCCGCTTTAACCCGGAAGGACGTTTCTTCATCAATGGCCCAATCGTAGGGCAATAAGCACCTCAGCCCCGTGCCTTCTCCGCCAAACCGCTGAATATCTACGCCGTCACCTTGATACATGATCTTTGCTTGTCGGTCAGTCTCTGGGTCATCATCCTTTTTGTTGTCCCAGACGGAAAATATGACGACTTTTTTGCCGTCGTATAGCTCTTGTATACCCATGTATCCACATCGGAAGTTGATAGCACAAAAGTAGGTTCCGGTCTGACAGCGACGGACGATAACAGTGTTCTGGGCGGAAGTAGCGGATTTGGGCACCTTGTACCATAGATGAACGGACCGAGCGGCACGCGGTTCCTCACACTGGTCCGTCATTGTGCACACTGAAAATACAGAATCAGTATTATATATGAACGGACTTCATTCTTTTTTCAATCGAGGAGTCGAACCCGGAACCGCAGGGGAAGCAGCTTTTATTATTTACCAGGATGACATATATCTTGTAGTTACAGTTATTTTTTAACTGAGGCTTCCTTCAACAAATCATCAATATAAAACATATAATACACAATAATTCATCGAAGCAGAAACTGTTTACTGATGTACGCAACATATGGGGCATGGGGGCAGACGTGTCTACTATGTTCAAAATTTCTTTGATTCAAATAGATGAAATGAAATCTTATTCAATAACGAGTCAAAAGTTCAGAAATGCAGTAAAAAAAAAACGTGTACAACGCACCGGCAGCCTAATCTGTGGTCGGCCAAACCTACAGGAAGTACATCACTTTGTACGGTAGGTTTTTCTATATTCACCTAATATACGAGGAAGCGCGTCTGTACTTTCGTTATTTACTGGGTCATGTATCTTCAATACCTACTAAATTGAAATGTCGACCAAAAACAATGTGTATGAATGAGAGACAGTGTCAAATTGTTTACGTAAACAGTAGTGGTATCATGCTGTATCTATGATTAGTCTCACCGATATTTCTTCCTGGTGACAGGAGGTCCGCGTAGCTAGTGATCCGGTGTCGGGTGAAAAAATACCTTCCAATATATTTGTACCGTCTACTGGCCATGGTAGACTTGCACATGTCATGAGAAAAATATCTTACAGGTTATAATTTAATAAGATTTAATAGGATATTAATGCACGCAAGCATTGCTGTCTCTATATCCACATCAATGTAAATTTGAAATACAATTTGGTAAACATAAAATAAACCTATACATAAGACGCTGTATGATCGTACTTCAACTCAAAATCTTTCCAGAATTCGTCCAAGCTTTTTCTCAAAGTCAAGTACGTTACGAGATTAAATAACATCTTGTGAGAGACTATTCCAGATATCAATGATTCTTTGAGTAAGGTAACGTTTTCTAATATTTAAATGGCAATGTTGTTTAAGTATATTTTTTTACTGTGTGCACGAGTTTTTCCTTGAGCAGCGAGATCGAACAATCCCTCCACCAAATTCGGATCATAAAGCCCATTCATAAACTTGAACAGGTTGATCATGTCTCCGCACTAACGCCTGTATGTGAGAGTTGGAAGCTTCCATCGTCGTAGTCTCTCGCTGTAGGTAATAGTCCTAAATCCGGGGAGTAATTTCAAAATAATAGCCTCGTTACATCGACAGAGCGTAAGGATTTTGCTAACTTAATTAAATTATGTAAAGGCCTTGATCACTGATATGTCACCACCATAGTTTTTCGAACCAATAGTAAAGAATTAGGAATGGACTGGAAAATTTATTGTTTTCAAATACTTCGGTGGTATGATTTTGAGTCCGGTGAAGAGGATCTTTATAGATCCTATATCAGTTAAAAAAACTTAAAGCCTTTTGTTTGGTGATACTTAGTTAGATATGAAATCAAACGAAGTTATTTGTAAGCATGCTCAAAAATGTATTGTTGATAGTAAACGGTTTGCGTGAATACAGGTCAATATAAGGTGTCATCTATACCTAGCTGTTGTAATACTGAATTCATCTATCAGTATCTTTTTTCTTTCCTTCTGATCTCTGACTTTTTTTCAACTCTCCTATTTTTCTGCTTTTCTTATACTACGTGAAATATATTATGTGCTAATTATTAGTAGGCCATTGCTAAGTTTTGCATATGTGTGCTTGCATTATGGAGAGGACAAGGATAAGTTGTGATAACTTGCGTCCAATCCTTTTGTGTAGCATTTATGCAATACAATTTATTTAAACTCAAACTCAAAAAAACAACTTAGAGGGACAATTCAGTAAAGTAAGTTTTTTATAACAAAAATTATTCATGACAAGATAGTTTAATACTCCTTATGAACAGTTCGTGTCGAAATTGACAAGAAACAAAGTTTTATTTATATTTTTTTAATGTCAGAAAAATAAAGCTTTGTTCCGCTGTTGTCCAAGGGTTCATGTGTTCTTAATACCCTAGAACGAAAACTAATACATTTGATTGCATGTTATGTGTGTGTATTTATTTCTGTTGTACTGACACTACAGAAGTATATGTATCAGTCTGAGACCAAAGCGAGTGCCGTGTGGCCGTGTCCCTCATATAGGTACTGTTAACTCTGTTATATACCCACGAAAATGTATCATATTTATATCATTTTATATTTATTCTATTTAAACTCGTCAGCTCACTATCCATAAAAATATAGGTCGGGTTTTTGTATGTCATAAATCATCAATGTATGATAAAATTATGTATTATATACGTATGTAACAGGAGGGGAAATGCACGGCTAGACTGGGGTTCGAACCCGGGACCCTTAGAAATCTAGACGGACGCCCTTCCAATTGAGCCACCTGGTCGTCGACGATCGACCCAGTCTAGTTTCGTTACATTCCTCCCTCCTTTAACAAAGACTTCGACCTCGAAGACACACAGGACACTATACCACCTTCTGTGGGTATATTTCGTTGGGCGCCAAATGTAACAAGAGCGGGAAAATGCACGGCCAGACTGGGGTTCGAACCCAGGACTCTACGAACTTTAGACGGACGCTCTGCCAGTTGGGCTACCTGGTCGCCGACGATCGACCCAGTCTTGTTCCGCTACAAGTATATCCATAAGAGATCTAAATGTTATGCTAATCTTGTAATTTAAATAAGTAATGTGTCTCGTGATGATATGTTGTGATGTATTGTGATATGTCCGTTATTACCGTGCTTGACCTTATTTGTAATCATTGTGTTATTTGTAGGTCGTCTTTTCTGATTGTTAGATTGACTTATGCACAGAAGCACATTAACAACCCAGGTGGAGTATAAAATGGTCTGGGCTGGATGTTGCGGTATCTGTGATGTAGCATTCAAGTGAGGTGGCACTATAAAAAGATGGTTGGAAGCACGGTCCCACTACAAACAGAACACAATACATCTCCAGCAAAAACGTAGGCATACACACATAGAGGATGTTAGCCAGATGACATAGGACTAGTAATTAGCGCCTGATGAGGCAGCTCCTGCGAATTCCTCAAAAATTGTATTGATTGATGTGTATGCTAATTGTATTAATTGTTTATGTACTGTAAAGCACTTTAGAGTGGCTTATGTTAGCCAGATAGGGCGCTATATCAACTGTTGTTTATTATTATTAAACTAGAAGAAATCTCCAAAGTGTTTGTTATTGTGTACAGCAAAAACCAACAATACATCATTACACATTTTACTGTATAATGCTCTTTCAATGCATTAAAGAACAAAAAGTTAATCTTTCTCGTATAATTCATCGAGGGGAACCTATTTAGTTAAGCTGTCCATGAACGGTAAGGTACATTGTATATGTAGCGTTTATTTAGGAGCTATGGCGGATAACTGCCCATATTTCCCTAAGTCGGCATTTATGAAAACGGAAAAAATATTAACGAGTAAATGTATTTTTAGAAGCGAAAATGCATGGAATAGATATAAAACCCATTGAATATGAATTTTCAAACTGTTGAGATATTCGCTATTGTTAATATAATACTGCAAATATATCCATATACACAATATCTATGAAAGACTTAAACAAATTCTTTCAACACTTTCCCATCCGAGGTCCATCTTTTGAATAAACTTTTTGATTCCGTGATGTAATATGCAAAAACAAAACGCATGACCAAAAAGTGGTCCTCCTTTTAGAAAGTGCTCAAAATAATGAAAAACAGCAGTGATCAAATTTCTTAAAACGACGACAGGTGTTTCTTGGGTTAAAACAGATTGTATTTTCATCGCCGTCTATCCAATGTAGCCGAATGGGTAACACAGTTAACTTGTAAGCAAAACAAGTGAACGGTAAATAATTCAGTAATAAAATATTTTTCAAATCAATGCAACATATTATTTATATTTTAATAACATACCTTGTGATAGTCTGTCATCAAATTCCTGTGCACGCGTACAGTTCAGCTACGCTTTGTAGATAAGACATCGTTTTAAATGATATTTGTGAACTGTATTATCCTCCAATTGGCACTAGTAATTTGAACTGCTATGAGGTATTGTTAATATCATACCGCAAATATAGCTATATCCACTATATCTATAGAAGATGATGGGATTACCCGACTTACAAAAATACTTTCAACACTTTCCCATCGGAGGACCAACTTTTGAATAAGCTTTTTTTTATTCTTTGATGTAATATGCAAAAACAAATCGTATTCCGGAAAAGTGGTCCTCCTTTGGGGAAGTGCTCAAAATATTGAAAAACAGGGATGAGCGAGTTTCTTAAACTGCTACAGGTGTTTCTTTGGTTAAAACAGTTTGAATTGCCAACCTCGTCGATTTCCGATGCAGCCGAATGTGTAACGAAGTTAACTTGTGACCATGACGAAGTGAACGTGCAAGTTCGAATCCACGTTCAGTTTTATTTTATTTTTAAATATTTAGGCATGAGATATTTTTCATTGATTAATTAATAAAATATTTTTCAAATCAATAGTATATTT